CCTCCTAACACGCTGACGAGGAATGAGAAAACACAAGCTTTGGCAAAAGCAAATCAAACGAGCAGCATGTGGGGGCTGGCCCTCCACACATCTGAGCCAGGGCTGGGATCCTCCCTCCAGGGCTCAGAGAGCAGCACAGCTACGCTCGAGTCCCATGGCGGCCTGGTCCTGATTCAGCTCAGCCAGGCACCCGCGAGGCACGGCTGAGCCACGGAAGCACCTGCTTCTAGCAGAAAACAAGCTGTGGTGCCTGAGCTCAACGTGTCCCCCATGACGGTGACCTGCACAGGCTGCTGTCTGTCATCGCTGAGGACACACCCCTTGCCACCACCACTCGGGGACAGAAGCACCACTGAGAGCTCAGTGCCCACATTTCTGCCCTGGTGGCAGGGGGGGAAAGCCCGTCTGCACAGGCCTTTCAGGCAGCTAGCGCCAGCCTTTTTTGCCAACTAACCCAAAACCATGGTCAGCATGGCGCAGAAAACATCTGACCCAGGAAAACGAATTCAGTGCTGCATCCAAATGATTTCAAATCACAACTCTCCCAATAAAACCAAGCACTTCAGAGAACTGTAAAAAGGGGTGACCACCAGCCAAATCGGGTCAAGCCTTCTGATTGTCTTGCCCCAGTGAGTGCGTGCCACGCACCTCCTCTGTGCTCAGCACTGGCTCGCCCCCTTGTCTCCTCTTCTCCCCATGTCAGCTGGGTCAGGGCTGAAAGCAGGTGAGGCTGGCAGCCGGGCCTCCAACAAGAGGCCATCGGTGCAAAGCACGCGGGCTCTCCAGTGCCCCAAACCCTGGCCGGAGGCTGCATGGCCCATGACATGCAGAGGGCCTGCCTAGAAAGGTGATAAGGATCCCACCTGCAGGGGACGGTAGGCCAGCTCAGCACGGGCACTGGCGGGGCTGCTCATGGCTGGGAGAGAGGGTGTCGGGTGGCTAGGCTGTCCTTGGAGGATGGTGGGGGGACCACCCGCTTGGCACAGGCTATACAGGACGAGTCTCCACGGGCATTATCCACTCCCAGACCCAGGAAGATGGACAGGACACTGAGACACCCGGCTGGGCAGGACACGTCACTCCTGCCCCCTCTGGGCAGCACCAAACAGCAGCAAGACCTACTTTGTAACTTTCTGGAACCAGCAGCAGCACCCCCACCCTTAGTCCTCTGTAGGACTCACACCGCTCTGCCAGGGCCCAGCAAGTGCTGTGAGCCAAGGATCAAGGAATGCACGTCTCCATGAAGTAGAAAGACCCCCACGCTGGGTGCAGGCCCCAGCACCACCCCGGGAAACTCAGGTTCCAGCCCTGCCACAGCAGCTGAGAGGCAGCGGCACCGAGGTCCTAAGATCCTATGTCCCCCAAAGTGGGGAGCTGCTGACAGGGAGGGGTCAGTGTTGTTAAAGGGGGTGAAAACCAAGCTTACTCCAGGTCCCCAAAGGAGACACAGCAGAAACAGGAAGGTCCAGGAAAGGCAAACAGGCTGCCTCCCTGAGTCTGAGTTGGCTAGTTTTTCTCAAACTGGGGACCTATGGTCAGCTCAAAGGTGGAGGCAAGTGAGAGCAGGAGCCCTGAGCCACATGGAACAGTGTTGGTCCAGCAACCTGGGTAGCCAGGAAGGGCAAGGAAGTCACAAAAGTTCAACACCAAAATGAGGAGGGAACAAGGTTGTGCTGACCCAACAGAAGGTGGCAGAGCAAGTGGTGGCCACGGCACCATGTCAGGATTTCCCCGTCGTGCCGTACTGTGGCCTCACCACCCCCTAGAGGAGGGTCTTGTAGAAGGTCAGGCCAGTGACCCAGATGGGCATCCCCAGTGCAGCTGAGCCGGCTATGGCAGGAGGCAGATGCTCCCAGAGCCGACACGGAGCCCCAGGCTACCCCACACCCTGTCTGACAGTACAGGGGTCTGCAGGGGAACCAGGGCTGGCCAAAGATGGCCACAGGAACACAGGACATGTGGGCAAGGAGGAAAGCGGTGGGATTCTGGTGTTTCACTTCCTTCTTTGTTACCGTAATGTGTTCTGCTGCCAAGAATGAAAGTTTATTCAAGAGAAGAATGACAGGGAGGTATTTTTAACCGGCTTCTCCCACAAAAAACAGTGCATGTTCCAGCTGTGCACATCTGGAGAATTCAGAAGGTGAAACACCTCACTGCCCTTAGATGTGAGATAAATAAACATCACCCTCTCCACGGAGCTCTTTCAACGCTAACTATCAAAGGAAACCAGACGTCCTCTAAGCCAGGCTTACTAGGTCCACATGAAGGCGTTTCCCCGTCTGGCAGGGAACCCTGAAAAACACAAGTGAGCCCCACCAGTGCCTCTCAGTTCTCCAGGGAGGCCCCCAGCCTGCGGAGGGCAGGAAGGGGAACACAGCCCAGGCACCTGGGCAGACTGCAGGTGCTGCAGGCGTAGGAGGGATGGAGGCCAAGAGCAATTCCAAGAAGGGCTCCTGGCTGAACGCAACATCTCCCTAGACCCTCCCTCCGCTGTGTAAAGCGTGACTCCCAGGAACCCTCTCCACGCCCAGAATGCTGGGGTCATGTGCCGGATGGCATCTCCACACTGTGGACTAAGAGAGCCCCTCCCGGCACAAAGCCAACACACCTAGAGAAGGAGCAGCCACCTGTCGCCCTTCCCTGGCAGGGTGGCCCCTCTGCTCAGTGAGACCTGACCCCACATCCCACCCGGAAGCACACTCCCCTTGTGGAGTCCAACGCCCCTCCCACAGCCCTGATCTCCCTGCAGCCCTACACCCCACCCTCTTCCGTTCCACACGCCCACCAGCCCCTGGCCCACACCCACGACATCACACAGGCAGCCCCATCAGTCCCTCCAATAGCTCTGCACAAAGTCAGCCTGCACCACTCTACACACAGGCAGGGGCCCTCCTCCCCTGATCCCACAGTGCCCTGCCATCTCCTCACTGGCGACCTTGGGGGCTGCTCCCCTCAGTCCTCAGTTTGTGATGAGGCAGCTTCCAGCACAGCCCCAAAACACACCAGGTTCCCAGCAAAGGGGGGGCTATTCTAAGCGGGTCCAGACTCCCTCTCACGGAAAACCCTCTCAGATCAGCACAGACAGAGGGAGCTGATCCCAAATGACACACATGGACCAGGGACAAATGTTGGAGGTACTTCTTCTGGGGGAGGTGCAGGGAAACCACCAGTTTGGGGCACCAGTAACATCCCGGCAAGGAACATCAACGTATAGACAAGAAGCATATAGACCAGAAGCACCTCCAGGTTGCTGTTCCCATCTAGAGTCATGGAGCAGGAGACCCCTGGACAGAGGCCAGGCTCCACCCCATGCCCGCAGGGGACAGACCGGAGACAGAACTGCTCGCCTCTCCTTAAAGGGAATGGGAACGAACAAGCTCCAAGAGTCACATGCGCCCGAGATGCCCCAGCCAAATCAGCAGGCTCTGGCTGCTGAGATCTAACTCAAACCCAGTCTGCGGCAGCACCCCTGCTCCATCCGCCAGCCTGCACAGGCAGCGCTGGGAGGCAGCACCTGAGGGTGCTCGGGTCGGTGGGCAAGAGCAGGAAGACTGCTCACCAGAATCAAGAGTCATCTCCCCTTTCAGGACCTCTCTTCCCTCTGCCTTCCCTTGCAGCAGGAATGCCCAGCACACCCCAGGACCCCCAGATCACAGCCCCCTGCCCCACCCACCGCCTTTCCCGTACCATCAGAACCTGCAGGGCCATGAAGAAGGGGAGCTGTTCAGTCCCTCCTAAGGACCTCACACAATGCCACTGACCCCTGCCTTGAAAAGCCACATCTCCAAGGCAGAACCAAGAGGTGGTGGAGAGGCAGGTCTCTGGAGCTCTTTGTCTTGGGAGAAAGGCTGACGACAGGTCGACACCCACCGAATCAGCCAGGCTTGCACACACATGCAGGCCACCCTGTAGGGGCCCGAGGATATAGCAACTGAATCCCATTTCTGAACCAAAAATACAAGCGTCCTGCAGTGTGGCCAGCGGCCCTAGAACACAGCTTGCCCCAGCTAGCCCCAGCCCCATGTCAGGCCCGGACTGGATGGCCAGCTAACTTTACAGGCCAACGAAGTACATTTACACCTCCAGCCAGCACTCTCCCAGACTGGCTCACGCCTGACAGCTGCCCTCCTCCAAGGAGGGAGGCTTATAAACACCCCCTGGACAGGCATGGCCTCTGCTTCCAAGGCTGGCCCAGGACAGCTAGGGTGGCTGTTTATATAATCTTCCAGGGCTGGGGCTGACACCACGGAGATGGCAGGATCATGAAAAATGCATACCCAGAGCCTCTGCAGCCAAGAAAACCCCCACCCGCATTCTGCATGACTCGGTTTTAAGACCTCTCACACGTCCATTTTGTGAACAAATAGAGTTCTCAGAACAGCAGAGGCGACTAACCACACTTCCAGGCCTTGCCCAGCCGGCCCCAGATCTCTACCAGGCACCACCTCTGGGTCACAGGCCCAGGGTCAGAAGCAGTTTCTGCAGGTATCCCTGCTGGGGCAGCCACAGCTTGCCGGACACAGGGAAGTACTAATTTATGGGCAGCTCAGAGCCCCCAAACCACTCTATAACTGCACACACCGGGCCTTGAAGCCTCCATACTGTTTTGCAAAGACACAACAGTCCAGACTCCCTGGGTCATTAAAGTAGGTCATCAGGACTGGAGAAGCAGCAGCCTAAGACACACAGCCTCCAAGGCCCACTCTCCAGGGCCCTCTCTATGCCCACAGCGCGCACACTTACACCAAAAGCACACCAGAGGCCTGCCCTCGCCACCAGCTGACTCACAAACCGCAACCTGCGCACGGACACAGCCGGGCCGCACATGCAGTCCGCACACCTGGTACGCATCCTGCCGGCCACCCACACAGAGGGCGACGCACATGGAGCTCCGTCGCCCCCAGGGCTTCTTAAGGCCAGGCGCAGGAGCAAGGACGGGCCCAAGGACGACTCGCGCAAAGACCCTGCGGAAAGCCCCCTGCGTGCTGGGGCGCCCTCACCTGAAGCTCACACCAGGCCACCTCCACCCAGGTCTCCGTGTCCAGCCCCTTGTAGACCGTCTTGAAGGAACCGCGGCCCAGCTCGATGTCGAACTTGAGGAAGCGGCCGTCCAGAGAGGTGGCCACAGCCTTGAGATCGTCCTCGTCGTCCTCCTCCTCTTCGGGCTCGTCCCGGCGTGTGCGCCCGGGCTCAGGCTTCGCCTCGGCCGCCCCCTCATCCTCCTTCCTCACGGTCGCCGCCGCCTCCTCCCTGGGGCCGCCGTCGGGGGCAGGCGCGGTTTCGACAGCGGCTGCGATGGGGTCCGGGCAGGGCTCCTGCGCGCCCAGAGGCTCGGGGCCGGCGTCCGCGGGGGCTCCGGGGGCTCCGGGCTGCGCGGCCGGCGCTGCAGGCGCGGGGGCGGCGGGGCGTCCGCGGGCGCGCTCCGCGATGAGGCGGCGCGTCTTGCAGAGCAGAAGCACCCGGCGCTGCAGGGGCTGCGGGGGCTGCGGGCCAGGTGCCTCGGCCGCCTCCAAGCCGGGCGGCTCCTCCTGGTCCGACTCTACCACGCTGCGCCGCAGGAAGCGCTGGGGCCCCGGCCGCGCCGCCTTCGCCCGAGGCTCCGCCATGCCCGCGGGCCCCGCGCCGCGCCCGGGCTCCATCAGCGCGCCGGGGGCGTCTCGGCGGCCGCCATCGCCGTCCATCTCTGTGGGCCAAGGACACACAGGCCCGCGTGAGCGCCGGCCCTGCCGCACCTGCCCAGGCCGCGGAATGAGACAGCGCCGCCCCGGGTCCGCGCCCTGCCCAGCCCCGACCGCGGAGAGAGCCTGCGGGGGCCGTCTCTGGGGGCCCTGGGAAAGGGGGGCTGCAGACGGGACCAGAGGCTCGGGTTGGGGAGGAGGGGTCCGTGCCCTGCTCAGCCCCAGGCTGCGGAGAGGGACGGGCCTGTGGTGTCCCTGGAACCCTGGGAGAGAGGACCTGCTAGGGTGTCTCTGAGGGCCCCGGAGGCCGGCAGAGGGATCTCGCGCCCTGCCCAGCCCCGGCCCGGGAGGGTCCTGCTAGGCTGTCCCGGAGGTAGCTGTAAAGGGGATAGGGAGGCCCTGGGGCGGGAGGAAGGCACCGGCCTGGCGGCGGCTCCACAAAGGACGCGGGCCCGGGGCGCGGGAGGGGCGCGCGGGGAGGGGGCTGCAGCGCCGCGGCGCGCACACAAAGGCGGCGAGCGGCGTTGGGGGGAGGCTCGGCACTCACAGGGCGAGCGGACGCCGTCCATGCCCGCGGCCCGGCGGCCGGGGCTTGCGAGGAGGGCGAGATCACGCTTCGGGGCCGGGGTCCGAGTTCCAGGCGAGGTCCGCGCTGGGGTGGGGGCCGCTGCGCCGCTCCGGCTCCTGCGCGCTGCTCTCTCGGGCCGGGCCACTGCGGGGCCGCGCTCCCGCGTGCTCCTGCCGGCTTCGCGCGACTCCGCTCCCGCACCGGCTCCGACCCGGCGCGCGGGGAGGGCGGGGCTCCGTTCGCCCCGCCCCGGACCGGCGCAGGGGGCTGGGCCTGGCACGCCCACCTGGCTGCGGACGGGCGGGCGGGTGCGCGCGGCCACCTGCGGGCCGGCTACCTGGGGTCCCACCCGCGGCTCTTTGCTGGAGGTAGCGCTCCTGGCCTCTGAAGTTCTTTGGAACGCTCCGCAGGGCTGTCAGCTGCAGAGGACCCTATTTGTTCCTGAGAGGAGGCAGCAGGCTCTACGCCTCAGCACGCCGCAGCCCGGCGCGCCAGACCTCAGGGCCGGGTGCTAGGACAGAATGGGCAGGCTAGGAAGAAAAGGACCAGGGGTACCGCCACCCTCGGGAGCCCAGCCTGGGGCTAAGCCTGGTGGGAGTCAGCATGTCATTTCCTGCCCTCACTTCACCACCAGGAACCATGAGGACCTCATCATAACCCAGGGAGGCACTGGTGACCATTGTGCCCATTTCACAATCTAGAGCAAACTGAGGCGCCAAAGGCAGAAGTTATATACTCTAAATCCCAGAACTTCCACGACCGAGGCTGAGCTGGAATGCCTTGGATGGGATATGGAGAGGCTTCCAGAAGCCCCTTGACCCAAAGTGTTCTTCCTTCCCACCTCTGCCAGATGCCACCTCTCCCAAGAAGTCTTCCATGATCTCTCTGTCCTTCCTCCACTAGACCCCCACGGACAAGCCCTCTCTTGGGCGTCTCTGGCCATAATGCAGCAGGTGACCTGTGTCAGTAACCATACTGCTAAGTTCTGAGCCCTGCTCCTGTCAACGCCGTGAGCTAACACCTCACTCTCACCCCAGCCTGCATGATCCTAGGTGAGGAAACTGAGGCATAAGGGAGATACCAGAGTATTCTTATCTCAGTCCCCATCTCCCTGGGCTGACACCCCCATCAGATACACACACACTTCCAGAGATGAAAAGATGCTTGTGGGCTGCTGGCCCTGGAGCCCCTGGCACAAAGTAACTCGTGTGGCATAAAAGCCAGCAGAGGTGATATCTCACCTTCGCAATGTAGAGGGAAGAATATGCCAAGCCAACTGTTACCCAGAGAAGCAGGACTTCCTGGAGCCCTGCTGGACACTGGCATTGGCTGAAACTAACTTGTGAGGGGCAATAGTGCACATGCCTTCCCAGCTCTGGGTTCAGCAGTGCCACCCTGTAGCCTGAAGTCAGCAATGCTGGGAGTATTTACACTATGGAAATTGGCAAACACCTCAAATCAGGACTTTTCTCCCCAGAGAGCCAGTGATTATTAAACAGTGTGCTAGGTGTGGGGCTATGCATTTGGCACTTGCCTGTTATTTATATAATCTAATCCTCACATCTACCTTGTGAGACAGGCGTGCACTCCGGGGCTCGAGTCCGCTGGCATGAGCCCAGAGCTCACACGAGGAGGAGGCCAAACAGCAGATGCCAGCTCTGCAGGATGGAGAGGCCTGAGGGACAGGGATCTAAGTTGCACCTCCTGGGGCAGGAGTCTTCCAGGTAGAGGTCAGGGGTGGAAAAGGATATTTTGTCTTCCCTTTGGAGGCTAAAGACCCCCTAACCTTGCCCCTAACCAGCTGATTGAACTTGGGCAAGTCCTGATCCTTCCTGAGCCCCAGTATCCAGCCCTGCAGAGCGGGCTGGTCATCCTGCTTGCCCACCTTAAAAGGCTACCAATTCCTTGTGGATTCAGTCAGTCTAGGAAGGGCACCATGTCCACAGACCTGTTCATGGTGGGTGTGTTCAAGCCTATCCAAGGGAAAACCAGGATGGGACAGAGCTAAGCGTGTTCTGAGACCAGCACACACCTATCTGGCCTCCTCCTGCTCCCAACGGGCCACACTGGCAGTGTGTGGGCAAAGTACCTGCCAGCATTGGAGGAGGTTCATCAGCACCCATGGCTGCTGCCCACTCACACTTGTAGATATGCGTGGGAAAGGATGGCTACACCCAAGGGAGCAGCCCAGGCTGTGGGGAGTGGGGGACAGCCTGTCCCTGAGAGAGCACTGTGTGCTCTCTGAGCCCTTGGGGTGAATTCACGCATCCCTGCTTACACGCCTCCCATGGTGGAGAGCTCATTCTCTCTGCCAAGCCATGACCATTAGAGTACACAGCTAAGTCAGTAGTGGACAGGTCACAGTTTCCTCTGCAAGGAATCTCAGGCTGGGCTCAGGAGCAGCTCAGCATCCTGGCAGATGGAGCCTGAGGGATCCTTGGACCGACCTTGGAAGTCAGGACTTCACAGCACTGGCTATGTGCCCTTTGGCAGGTCACTAGATATCTCTGAGCTTCCATCTCCCTGCTGCTAAGACGGGGAGTGTACGTACTGTAGTCTGTTTTGCTGGGCATCCTGAGGCTGCATGATCCAGGGTCATGATGCCAGCATTTGTCTTTTGGAGGTTTGTTTTTTGTTTTCTATTTTTGTTTTTGTTTTTGTTTTTTTGAGACGGAGTTTCGCTTTGTTGCCCAGGCTGGAGTGCAGTGGTGGGATCTCAGCTCAGCTCACAGAAACCTCTTCCTCCCAGGTTCAAGCAATTCTCCTGCCTCAGCCTCCTGAGTAGCTGGGATTACAGGCGCCCACCAGCACGCCTGGCTAATTTTGTATTTTTAGTAGAGACGAGGTTTCACCATGTTGTTCAGGCTGGTATTGGACTCCTGACCTCAAGTGGTCCACCCACCTCGGCCTCTCAAAGTGCCAGGATTACGGGGCAGCATTTGTCTTCAATGTTTAGAACAGATGAGTACATTGAGGTCTCGCCCAGAAACTTTTCAACTTTAAGTAACTTTCTCAAGGCCTCAGAGTGGAGGCAGTGACCTCCATCCACAGCTATCACCTTAGCTTCCACAATGCCAGGGAGCCCCTTTGGTGAAACAAGTTTCTTCCAAGTCCAGGCTGTGCTCCAGCCTGCCCCAGCCAGTGGGCACGTGCAGGCACACACCTGCTCCATGCAGATGCAGTTCCAGGTGCTGGGCCCCAGCAAGCAACAGGACCATGGTGTCAGTTTGCTCATCTGTAAGATGGGCATAATGGTCATGCCCAACAGTCTTGGCATCAGAAGGCTTTCAACAAATGCTCATGAAAGAAGGGAGGAACGGAGATGGGGCCAGCCTCACTGCCTCTGCTCACATCAGGGCCTGTCGAGGGTCACTGGGTAGAAGCAAGAGCAGGGTCTGGCCATGTCCAGTGGGAGCTCGGTCTACAATTGCCCCCTGGGGTAGGTCTGCCTCTGAGTGGAGTCAGGCAACCTATTTAGTGCACAGGTCCAGCATGGCCAGGCCACTTGCCTGAATGCCCCCTGGGTCACACCATGGGGAGGATACCCTGGTAGGAGCATCAGATGGGGAGGACAGTGCTGGAAGAGCAGAGCCCAGGGAGGCCAGGCAAGTGGCTTGGGGGAATGCAGGGAGACCTGTGACCTGAGGAAGGGTATGGGGACAGGACAAAGGCCTGACAGTGTGTGGTGGCAGGAAGGTGGCAGTAGGTGGGAGCAGGTGGGCTGTGGAAGCTTGGGCACCTACTCCTGGAAGATGATGTCAGAGAATGGAAAGGGCATGACGAGGCTGCAGTATCTTTGTGCTGTGGGTCATAGAGCCTCAGGACAACCAGCAGGATGGAAGCTCCCGGTGGGTAGGGCCTGAGGTAGGCAGGTCGGCGGGTACGGGATGACGCAACGCTTCTGACTCAGCTGTGATGGATGAATGGTTGAAGAACTTGTTTCCTTCCAACAACAGGGTTCCATTAGAAATCTTCTGAAGTATGACACACAAATCAGAAAACAATCCCCAGTTTCCCAAGTCAACACTTCACTATGTAGGACTTTATTTGCGATTCTAGGGAGAGGTGAGATTTGGGGTAATGTTCAGTTCTGGTAAGGCAGATTATACAGCTAAAAGGAGGCCAGGTGCGGTGGCTCACACTTGTATTCCCAGCACTTTGGGAGGCCGAAGCGGGCGGATCGCCTGAGGTCAGGAGATCCAGATGAGCCTGGCCAACATGGTGAAACCTTGTCTCTACTAAAAATACAAAAAAATTAGCTGGGCGTGGTGGTGTGTGCCTGTAATCCTGGTTACTCAGGAGGCTGAGGCACAAGAATCGCTTGAACTTGGGAGGCAGAGGTTGCAGTGAGCCAAGATTGTGCCACTGCACTCCAGCCAGGGCAACAGAGTGAGACTGTGTCTCACAATAACAACAAAAACAAACAAAAAAACAAAAACAAAAAAGGCCACGCACAGTGGCAGCGGCGCCTGTAATCCCAGCTACTCGGAGGCCTGAGCAGGAACATCGCTTGAACTGGGAGGCGGGGACTATTGCAGTGAGCCAAGATCATCACCTGCACCTCCAGCCTGCGCGCAAGAGAAAACTCCCGCGCAAAAAAAAAAAAAAAAAAAGAAGAGAAAAGAAAAAGAAAACGTAAACTGCAAACTACACGACAGAAAAGAGCAGTGCACGGCTTGTGCGGGAGGCAAGGCGACGTCCCACCCTGACCCTCCCCAGCAGCG